GCCAGCGAGCACACCTTGTCCGTGTGGTACGTGTACGACTTGGCGCACTTGGTCGTGTGCAGGTCCCAGAGCTTGACCGTCTTGTCGGCCGAGGCCGAAGCAAGCAGGTTCCTGTGTTTCCTGTTGGCAGCAAGCGACAGGACGGCGTCGACGTGGTACTCGTCGTTGGCCTTGGCCTTCTTCTTCTTCTTCTTCTTCTTCTCCTCGGCGCCCTCGCCACCCTGGCCGAGGATCGCGTTGGGGTACATGCAGTCTATCGTATCGAGATCCCAGACCTCGATATCGGGGTCCATGGTGCCGACGGCGACAAAGTTGGCCGTCGCGTCCTTCTCGACGCCCTGCTTGTTCACGGGCATGTCGAGCCATTCGACACACAGCGGGATGGCGGGCAACATGATGTCGTGGTGGACGTACAGGTTGTCGGCAGCGTCCTCGTAGACGTAGACCTCGAGATGAGCCAGCTCGTCCTCAATCTTGGCGGCCAGCAGCAGGTTGTCCGTCGCCAGAATCTGCATGTCGTCGCGGTCCTCGTCCTCGTCGTCGTCCTGAAGGGTGATGTAGGGGTCGTCCTTGTTGGACTCGTAATAGGCCAGCGATTTGGCGTTGCCGAACATGCCCATGCTCTCGCCCTGGCCGGGCCTGTCCTCGTCCTCCTCTTCATCGTCATCGTCATAGTGCTCGAGGTCGTACTCCTTGAGGTCGTCGTCGTTGATGTCGATCCTATCATGGTCTGTCAGCCATTTGCACCCTTTCGCCAGGGCGCCCAATGAACGCACTCTTCTTTCGTCTTGTCCTCCTTCTTCCCGCCCGCGCCCGCAGCCTTGGCGCCCTCGGCGTCCTGCGCCTCCTTGAGATCGTCTTCGGCATCGTCGAGCTGGAGCTTGGCGAGCTCTGCGATGCGCTCAAACTCGGCCTCGTCAAAGGCGTATTTCTGGGGGAAGGGGGCCGCGAAGCCGCGCGGCACCCCAGGTGGCGGATGGTGATCATGGACATGACGGGATTTTGTCTTTTCCCGGCGGTCGTGTCGACAGGTCCTGGCCAAAGATTGAAAACACCCC